TTTAGGAATAGAACAGCGCGTTTGTACTCGCTTGTTTTCAAAATTTTCATAATTTAAAAAATTGTCTGGACACGAACGACTTCCATATACACGGTGAGAATTAAAATTCTAACTATTCACACAGCTCTAAAATGCAATAATAAACATATTGGAATATGTTCAGATTCCCACATGAGTTTTCATCATTTATTCTTGTTGTTTTGAATGTGATGTTCAATAAGGATAACAATATTTGGGCAATACTCGGGTAAGAATTCTGAACGCGTTTTAAAAGATGCTTGAAGAATAAAAAAATAATGAAAGTAATGTTTTGTAAGATATATGTAGGTGATCATCACAATTAACACATCGGCTGATATCATAGTACATTGATGAAATTATATTGGATTTTACGAAAATGTTTGAAGATCAAAATTCTTCAGATATTGCAGAGCAGTATCTAAATCTTCCACGAACTGCTCTAACTCTAGAGTGTCGAATGATTGTAATAGGTTCTTATAAATGTATTCCTCGGGAAAAAGTAATGATTTCTTATAGTGGTGTAAAATTTGATGTCCCTTTGGTAGAAGATGGTACATTAATTTTATTTATAACGAAAATATAGATAAAAAGAGTTATATAAATTCTTTTACTTTGAAATATTACTTTGATATTTTACAGATACAAGTTTTGTAACTTTGGATGTGAAATACAGGCATGTAATTAAGCTTTTAATTAATTTTGAACAAACAATGCCAGTACTATTCCTTTATACATCTCCAAGTACAGGAACCAAGTTACGTGAATTATTAGGAATGCAAGATCCAAAGGGACCATATTACGATCCTATTGGAAAAGGTTTCAACATATACGAATTTTCTATATTTTAAATAGGTTCTGTAGTTTCTAGTAATTTAATGATTTATCTAAAAAATATTTATTCAATCTCCGCAGTTTTCGATGATATGTAGAAAAGATATAAAAGTTCTTACAATTAACGAAGCCGGATGTAATTAATATTTAAAATTTTTGATATTTTTTTAGTTGAGATGCATAGACATATTACGTTATTACTAGATAAGTTACCGAAAGATTTAAAGATGATACTAACAAGTTTATTCTCACAAGAAGGTAAAATAGACGAATTGACTTCTCAAGAAGCTAATAATATATTTACACGGGCCACACGGATGTTATGGGATCATGTACATATATTTGACTGAATTATATTTTATGATATATAACATACATGTACATTTTTATATGAACATATATATATATATATATATATAATATATTTTTACAGTCGTTCATTACTACACGAAAGCTAAATCAAAATTTAACATCTACTATAAGTGCTACAGATACTACTGATGTCAATGATGACGTACAAACGTAAGAATCTTATTTGATAATTGATTTTTAATAATTATCTTTTAATAACTTGATCGGACAAAATGTATTTCATAATCTTGCTTATTTAATCTAATTTGATTTTTTAGACATAGTTATATAAATTTGTAAATAATTTTTTTATGCATAAACTATTTTTTGTAGAATAATTACATATCCATCATTTCCTGTAGAAAGAGGAATAACTATTAACACTGCACATTACCTATGTCTCGCAGAAGACCAATACTTGAATGATACGGTTATAGAATTTTATTTAAAGTATTTAACCTTAGAGGTATTGTCAGAATTTGATCAACGTAGGACTCACATGTTCAGTTCATTTTTTTATCAGCGTTTGATTACTCCACATTTCGGAGAAACCCAAAATACCGTACCAATGACACTTGCCGCCGAGCGGCACGCAAGAGTACAGAGGTGGACGAGAGATGTTAATATATTTGAAAAAGATTTTGTTATAATTCCTATAAACAAAGAGTAAGTAATCCTATAAACTTAACATGAAGCCAATATAAACTTATAAGAGCGATGCTATAAGTGGTGCTTCATATGGGATGCCTTCTAACAAGAGACACACATGATATGTATAACACAGTCATTACATTCTTATTATTCGTCAATGTTAAACAAGGATGAGATGATCATTATGTTGTACTGAGTCACTTGTTGGAAGGCACCCATGGTGTCCGATACTGGGTTCACTCAGGACCAAGGATCTTAAAAGTTGGAATCAATATTGAGATATTAGATAAAAAAATCCATTGCACGAAGAATTCTATAGATAAGAGAAAAAAGAAAAACATTGAAGTTTTATCATACATATATCTTGTATTGAAATTTACCTCATATTAAATAGTTGTAATAAATGGGCCAATATCAATTTTATTAATTTTATTCTTTAAGTAATTCTATTGATTTTTTGTAACATAGACATAGACATTATCTCATATTTTGCATAATAATATAATATTATTTATAGTGAACACTGGTTCTTGGCTATTATTTGCTTTCCTGGATTAGTTGGAAAAGTTTCCAAACGTATTACAGAAACTAGCAAAAATGATAGTCTCGTTAGTTTTTCTAATACGGACGGAGACTCTTCTAGGTCTGTACAAAAGAACAAAAAAATAAAAACATTAAAAAGAAAAGCTGTTGAACTTGAAGAGCAAAAGGAAGTCAAGATGTAAGCAGCACGTTTATATCTATTTAATGCATTTTATTGTGGTTTTTATGATTTTAATTAAATAATTTAATTTATAGCCCCTGCATATTAATATTCGATTCGCTCGGTGGTACTAATTACTCATCGGTAATTGCTACATTAAGAGATTATTTAAGTTGCGAATATGTTGTCAAATTTGATGTAGAAGAGACATTCTCGAAAGATACTATTAAAGGAGCGTATCCAAAAGTACCCAAGCAATCCAATTGTACTGATTGCGGATTGTATTTATTACAATATGTGGAAAGTTTTTTCAAGGCAAGTACATATTAAATCTTTAATATTTGATTTTTTATTATTATATGTTTTAATTTATATTCTAAATGTCTGATTACATATAATTAATGTGATTATGAGTTTATTTCCCTTTTCACAGGATCCTATTAAAGATTATACTTTTCCAATTAAAACCTTGGAAACATGGTTTGAAGAAATTATCATAACGAGGAAAAGAGAGGAATTATCGAATTTGATAATTAAATTAATGAATAACACTAAAGGGAATAAACCTATTAATTTGCCTACTATAACATTGCCGACACAAAATGGCAAATTGAAACGGGACGTAAAAAATCAGATGTAATTACTTCTGAACATAAAATGTAGCAACGCTTACGTAAGACAAAATTTCTAATATATTTCTTATCACAAATATTGCTATAGATTTTTGTTCTTAATCTTTTTTCCAATACATTAAATATAATTAAATATAATTAAATTAACTAATTTAATAGTTATTACTTAGTTGTGTTACTTAAATAGTACTGATTTATAATTTAATCATAGTTTGAGCGAAGTCGTCCTGAAAATTAAATATAATAATTGCATTATTTCAGCTTAATGCTCAATAATACACTCAACTGTGAGATGCCTTCCAGAATTGTATTGTTATAATTTAAGTGATACATATGGTGAATTCAACTATTCGCACTACACTGGATTATTACACATAAAAAAGGCTGCTTTTAAATATCTAGTGACAATAATATAATCAGTTTTGACAATGAAATTATATATACATATATACATGTTCTGTTAACGTAACAATATCATTTAGAATTAAATTGTTTAAAATATTTATATGCTTTTACATATTTAATTTTCACATTTAGTATGCACTAATCTAGTGTAATGCAAGTTGAATTTGCTAACAGATAATTATTACTTGGTCTTCGCTTCTGAGAGTCGATTGTAAACGAAGTGAAAATTCCAAAAAGTGAGCAAATTTATTAAATGTTGACTAAAAAAAAAGTAAGCAATTTTATTAAATGTTGATCAATAAAATTATAAATGTTCTAGTAAATTTGCTCACGTTTATAATTTTCACCTCGATTCAAGATACACGATCAAGTCTCTTTGTAAGGTACGTTTTTTGCCGCGCTGTAAAAGTTGAATTGCATTCAAATTTTCCCGCGTGATGGAAGATACGTCCGCTCTTTCCGGAAAACTGGATGATTGATTGGTTTATCACATCGACTCTTATTGTGTTTCCATGTCCTGTGCAGGAACTATTGCGCACTGGTGTTTTCGAACGCAGTCTTGATAGAAGTTAGGTTAGTTTCGCCAACTGAACCAAACTGAACGAGTTAGAGAGAAAGAGAGCAGACTCATCGTCGAGCAAACACAGGTGTTTTCGTGTGTATTCGGGTATTTTACTCGCACGCATGAAATCTTGCGGATTTGTGTCGTTATTTACTATTTCTTTCGATTCTAACGGATTTCGCTATTTCCGACATTTATGTGAGGTTGCCTGCGTCTTTCTTTCTCACATTAATTCCGCAGTACCGGGAAGCGAAAATCACGTTTTCATTTTTCTTAAGCAAACTGATAACTAAGTTCGGATATTATTTCATTTCCCGATCGGAATCGATCGTCCTACTCTACATGTTACACATGTTGGAGCACTGTGCTCGTCAGTATACTTAATACTTATCAGTGTGCTAAAATTGAATCCAAAAATTTACACGTTCAGAGTTGAGAAACGTCTAAACGTTAAAGAGTCGCATTCAGTCGTGTTCAATATCGATAAACGTACTGAAGATAAAATACAGATATACTTGGAATTGAATGAAATATAGTTGAATACATCTTGTTGAATACAAGAATATAAATAATAAAATGATGTAATTGGATATCTCAAAACATTTGTTCAATCATCTTATACGTATATTTTTTGTTGAATTTAACAAGTGAATTGCAATAGCAATACAAGGTTTGTTTTATAAACTAATGTACACTTTTGGAACTTACAGTGATAGATATTAGGCAAAAGCGAGAAAGAGAGTTCTATTGCAGTCTCTAAAAGCAGGAATAAAAAAATAGACCTATCGATACAAGGAATATAATTAGGTTTCATTTAGAGCTCAAAGATATTTTCTTGATTTAGACTCCTGAGAGTACTGCAGAGATAATATTACAAACTGGTGAGCAATATGGATGATAAAGTTGTTCAAGTGAAAGAAGAATCGGAAATAAAAAAAGAAGATGCAAATATTACTGGCAGGATATTTGTGAAACAATTCCACCAGTTACTAGAGGATCCTTTGTTGAAGAGTACCAGTGATGATGTGCAACGTGCGATCAAGGGTCTTCGAGAAATACCGGATGAAGAACTAAATGAGTTCCTCGATGATGAAGACTTTATGAAAGGATTGGACGTCGTGGATGCATGGGAAAGAGATGAAGATAAAAACCGCGAGATTGAGCAAAACAGGACAGAATCTACAAAGCAAGGAAAGAACCAAATCTCTAGGTAGTGTCATTAAATAAATAATAATTAAGTAAATTTTTATGTAATATTATATTGTTATTATATTTTATATCATGAATAAAGCCGTTTTGTGCTCTTTCTATAAAGAGTGCAATTGCTGTAAAGAAATTCTGCAAAGAGTGTAATTTCTATAAAGAAATAGTGCCATGCTTTATCTTGAATTGAATTAATTACATTAATTTGTACAAATGTATTATGTTTAATTCTAATTTTAGTAATTTAGTTATAAGTTATAAAACCACGTGGTCAGATAGTTTCCTTATTCTCTGCTACGTGTTCTCCGCTATGTTATGCATATGATACATATATACAATCTATTATGTTTAATATGGAAGTTTGCATACTTTAGCAAACAAATGATGGCAAGAGTAATTATAGGGAACATCATCGTCCCGAGAAGGACAAACGCAAAAAGCCGAAGAAAGAAGAGAAAAAACGTGAGGAAACTCGGCGGGATCCTTTGAAGAGCACCAAGGATATCGAAAGGGACAAGATGCGAACGAAGAGAGACACCGAGAACAAACTTCTTGCTGAAAAAGAGAAGGCGATCAAATATTTGTTGGACTCGGATAACGTAGTCCCACCTGGCACGGAAACTGAAGCCATCCAGAGCATCGCTGAGGAACAACAGAATAGAGAACGAGCTCAGCGTGAAGCCCAACGAAGCAGAGAGCATCGCAGAAGCAAATCGTTAGAACGTTATGAAAGAGCGAGTCCATCTCGGCGCAGAACTCCCGATCGATCTCGGTTGAGTCCCCATCGACGAAAAAGTCCTTTTGTAAGCCCGGATCATCGTAGGAGCCCTTTTAAAAAAAGCGTAGAAAGACATAGAAGTCCTTACAGATATAGTCCAAGTAGATTGAAAAATTCACCGCGCTCCTACGACCGGAGAAGCCCTAAATTAAGTCCCGATTCTCGACGAAGAAGTCCTAGACGACTTAGTGGAGAACGACGATCCAGTGTAGAAAGAAGACGGAGTACTGAGCGACGTAGGAGACGCGCTGATTGGATGCATGAACGGTGAGGAGATAACATTCTTAACATCTTTGTTAAGAGATATTTAAATTCTTTCCGATTTATAAAAGAGATTTGAAAACTTACTGTCACGTGGTTAAACATTATTTTTTATACTGCGTGTACAGTAAAGTTACAAATAGTATTTTGCGTACAAATATATTGTAATTATGGTTTATTATATAATATATTGGTTTACAGTAGACATAATTTTTCAGACTTTGCGTAGACATAATTTTTTAGATTTTGCTAATTTTGTATTTATATTATTGTATTGTACAAATATGTATACGATATGAAAATATATTAGATTATATCTTAGTAATTATCTTGATTAAGCCGAAGAAGCCGATCTCGCGATCGGAGGAGTCGCAGTATGGAACGTTCAAGAAGACGATTAAGCCGTTCACCAATAAGCAGACGGTACAGTCCTCGTCGTCGAAGTCGCACACGTAGCAGATCATTAGAGAAGCGCCCCAGGAAGCGTTCATCCTTCATCAATGAACTAGCAAGACAACTAGGACACGAAGCAATGTCGACTGCTGTAAACACCAGTGGATACGTACCGTCCGCGACGATGGAAGGAATTGCACCGTTACTCAATCCGTCCACATATCAGCAAGAAACGGATAGGATACTGCCGCCAACGCAACCGCCACCACCACAACCATCACTGTCACCATCATCATCAGTTATGTTACCACCTATGTCAAGTGGACCGTCATTTATGAACTTTGAACCTATGCCGACTGCATCATTAATGAATTTCGAACCTATGCCTCCCCCATCTATGACTCCAACCATTGCCCCAACCATGACTCCAACCAGTTATGCATCCGGTCCGGTTATGTACAATCAGCCGAATGCTGCTGCTGCTGCTCCGCCACCGGTGATGTGTTCACCGTTGCTTTCTGTACCCTCACCGCAACCTGTACCTCCTCCCGTGATGGATCGTGCACATGCATCGTATAATCCATCGTATACTGCACCCTTTGTCCAACAATCATCGATCCGTCAATTTGAACCTCCAAAGAAATCTGTAAATCATTCAACTACATCCTCCACGTCGTCGCAGAAGCAGAATTATACAGAACATGGATCAGTGACATCGTACAAGGAAGTTTACTCTCCACCCCAGGAACGAATGAAGACACCTGAACCACCGATCATCTCCAAACCAAAAGTAATTGCAATATATATAATAGTGACGAGTACTTGGTTTTAAGTTTGACAAGAAATGTTTATCGGTATGTCAAAGTTAATGAGCATTAATTAATTTTAATTTGTCATGAAGATTGTATTTATTTCAATCATGTATTTTATAGAAAAAAAATTAATTGTTTTTATGACTTCATCTTGCAGCAAAAAACCAGCTTATCCAGTCTATTGGAAGCATCTGTTTCAGCCAAAGGTGCGAATATGTTTTAATTTGTTTGGTCGCGTAAAAATCGCGTAAAGATATAGAATTGATACAGTTCATTTTTTTTTATGACAAGGATACAAACTATGTTTCCTATGTATCCTATTTATGGAACGATACTAATTTTTGTTTTTTATCACGTCCTTTAGATTCATCTAATATACCAGTACTATATCCAGGTAAGAACTTTCAAATTTTTAAAATTTAATTTAAATTGCTTATTAATTGCGCCATATGAGTTGTGTGACGTGATTAGATATGGAATTAAAGTGTGTTTTTGTTTAAAGACATTTTTCTCTTATGTGATTTACAACGTACGTGAAGATTGCAAGTAACATGACGTAAAACCTATTTTTATAAGCATTATGCTATATATAATTCGGAATTTTATTCTACGCGACTCTGTTTTTTTCTACTGATAGGATTCAAGCCTGAAATAATGAGACATTGCGAACAAGCGATATATCAGCTTCCTGTGGAGGATCCGCGTTTAAAGATGAAGGGTAGATTTTTCTATGATCGCAGCGAAGAGAACAATACGAAAGATGTTTCCGACGACCATACATCGAATTCGATACTTTTGCAGAAAAGTAAAACTAAGATATTTTGGAAAGAGACTAATGCGGAACAGTCGATATCGGTTCCGAAAACAACTCAAACGCATCAGAAAATCTGTCAGACAGATGAGGTGGAAACGGAAACTAAAGGCGTGCAAGTACGCGTTACTACTGTCGACTTTGCATCACAGGTCTATGCGGACGACCTCCAGCAGGTAAAAGAAGAGAGACGGCCGATAATGGATCGTTTAGATTGGAGCGCACGAGATACTTACGAATATGGATCCAAATTTCGTGAAGTAGAGGATCTAAGATGGAGTCTAAGTAATTCTTCGCAGAGACGTACTTGGAACAGGCAGTCGTCTCCTTCTAGAAGATCTGACGAACAGGAGCATCATTTAGATTCTATGAATCATGAATCTAGAAGCTCGAGGCTGGATTCTCCTATTAGAAACAATGAGTTTTCTGCTCAATCTAATATACGTGATCACTATAGTCATGACAGATATTCGCCTAATTATCAAAGACGTTCTATTGAACGTGATGAATTTCATGATAGAAGAAGCAATCATAGCCGTGGAGAAAGCCCGATGGAATTAGAAGAATCTGATGATGAATTAATGACTGGCCATACATTCCAAAGAGGATCTGATTGGCATGGAAGAGGGAAAGTCTCAAGGGGTAAAAGTCATAATTTGCGAGGAAAACATGTAGGAGGAAGATCATATCGAAGTCACGGAAATTATCGGGGCAAGTTTTAAAACTATTCATTATATACACAAAATGTTTTTTGAACAAATAATATATGATCTATTTTATTAATGTTATATATATGGTATATGTATATATATATTAAATAAAAAGTGAAGAGAATACAATTTTCAGGATAAATATCAAAAGTTCAAGTATGAATTTATGATGAACAACAGTGAAAAAATAACTACATATAGCATAAAATATGCTCAAATATCTTTACATAAGTGTATTTGATGAAAGCAATACTTTTGCATACAGCCCCTGAAAAGAACACCAGTATCTGCAAAAGCATCATATCGTCATCAGTTTCTTTTTATTATGAGAGTTGTCACAATCAAAATGATTATATACATGTATGTAATCTTACATCGTAAGATCTCATAGATGATAAGTGTTGATACATACTTCGATACTTTTGTTATTTTGTTTGTGTCATTAATATTATATTTACAACGACATTGCACAACAATTTCTGCCGACAAAATACAACTTTAAGAATAAGAAAACGTAGTATATGTAACGTAATGAAAATGTAACGTAGATTTAAAAGAAATTGTAATAAAAATTTAAAACAAAAATGATAAAGTTACGAATTAAATTTATATTATAGGAATTAGCGTGTATCAATTTTGTTTTTTATCCTGCAGATAATATTGTAAAAACTATTATATTTCAATATATTGACTATATCTCTATGTTTTCATAATTATAAGTCTCTATTTGTGCGATAAATTACTTTATGTAAAGTTAGAAATATATTGTTGGCCATAAATTTATTTTTCAATTGCATCTTATTTTTTTATTAGTAAAATGTATGCTGCAAGCTAATCCTAAGCGATTGCACACGTTGCACAGTGCTGTTCGAATATTGCATCATGTTATGCTATGCAATTTGCATAGTTTTGTCTCATAACGTCTCGTACGTTCATTCGTAATCTTTTATTTTGTATAAATAAAACTCATTTGCATTACTTTTTGTTTCGATTTTATGTATTATATTTTTTACAGAGACAGCGTTTTATCAGCGTTATGTTATGTCGCGCAAGCTATTAGTATCGTACATGATATATATCTTATGAAACTTTTTCCAGATGTAATTCTTTTTTTACAATTATTCATATAATTTTTCAGAATTGCTTCATTATAAACTTCATAATTTTTTACAATTTTTATATAAGTTTATAACTTTTATTTTTTTTTTTACATATTGTAGAAATGTAAAAAAATTCTATATCTTTTCCAGCATATGAATTCTGAAATATTATAAGATTTTTTATTTTATAATTTTCGAGAAGAAAACTTATAATATTTGAAGAAATGTATTTTTTTTTAAATCTTCATAAATTTAAAATATAAAAATTCTAAAAAATGTGCAATGTAAGAATCTTTTTTATCAGTAATTTATTACAGTGCAATTATTTGTACACATTAATAAAATTTTTGATTTAATGCTTATGTCAACATATATCAAGTAATTATAAATCGAAATACATATTTTTTTTTAAATAACTTCAAATTATAATAATGAATTATTGATAAAAATTAAATAAAAATTTTTGAAATAATTTTAATTGCAAATTATTCTTTATGATCGTGTTCCATAAATGATGTCTACGAATTTTTTCAACAAAATTGTAAAAATCTATTTTGCAAATACAAATAAGAGTGATTATTTAAAAATATGTCCGCCACAATAATATTTTGAGAAAAAATAATTGCATTGTTAAACTTAACATAAATCCCTAGCAATGCGTTCTTTAGAAGTTAATTGCGTTGCAAATTGCATTCTTTTAATCTTCCGGCACGACTTCGATTCAAATTACTCTAGCGAGCAATTTATACTGCAATTTAGCGCACATTCAGTTTATGAACGTCCGGTTTAGATTGCTCGCGAATTCCGCTTGACTTTGCGGATATGAATGTATCATCGCAAAATCGCTCAATGATCTTTATAGAAATCTTAGAGGAAGATGTGCCAAGTCGACTACGTCACGTCGAGTCGATTTCCCGTTTATGTAGCTCATGATTCATCCTAAATCATCCGCTTTTAGACGAAACGTTCTTTCCCTCCGAGTCGTCAGTTGTCGTTTTTTTTTGACTTTGTGATCGAACTTCTCACTCGAAATTCGAATTGCCTGGCTAGAGAGAAGAAATAGTCTTTGTTGAATTAATACGTTTTTTTTTTCGTGACACAATTACTTTCCTATGAGGTAAAATGATTACGTTTTTCATGAAAGTTAATTCTACATTTAGCAATCGACCTTATTCGCAATTGCTATATAATATGGATTGACAAAACGATCGGATTAGCTTGAAACGTTCACTTTTGTTCCAATTGAATAAATTCATCATGTTGATCGATTTGTTTTCGATTTTAGAAGAGAAGAGAGATTTTCTTCTTATTTTTTCTTGATTTTGAATTTACAATCATTACAGTTGTAGTATCACTTAAATAAATCCAGAATGGATTTTGTCTTTTATTTATGAAACTATTTATTTTTCTTTTTCTTTAATGTATATTATATTTCTATGTTCTTCATAAAAAAGAAAAATGTGATTCTTTCAAACTTTATAATATGGAATTTTTAACAAGTATCGACAAGATACTTGTAATCAGATTGATATTAAAGGATCGTTATTTTTACAACAAATTGTATATATTAGAAAGCTGTTTACAATCGTTAGTGATCACAAATTATCTAAATTCATCACAAGTTGCCTAAATTCAGAAACTGGACTTTGTCTTTAATTTATGAAAAATATTTCTTTTTCATTAATATATTATAATTTTTACATTCTTTACAAAGAATTAACATATGTGATTCTTTAGGTTTAATATGGGGTTTCTACAAAGTATTAGATTAATGCCAAAAATCGTCGCATTTTTATTAACTCTGTATTACCTAAACTGTTAAAAACAGTAAAAATAAAGAAGGAAAAATCGTTTGAAAAAGAAAGTTAAAGAATTTTTTTTTTCAGATAAACCAACTTTTAGAATATATATCCAAACGGAACAATTTCATTTTCAAATATCTTAATAACGATTTTTAGTACATTCACCCCAAAGTCATATCCAACGGGGTCTCATTTATATAGCAAAGGGATAATTGAATTAATTAATTTCAATTTAATGAATGAAACATGGTACATCATTTTGATATCGAGAATACAATCCACGGGGGCAAGTGGCGACTGGCGCGGCGTGTTGTGCGCCGGGCGGAGGCGGCATCTGGCGTGAGTGAAGGGGATTCGTTGTTGTCAAGCGGCGCGATTCGCGTTGGCAGGCCTGGCGACGAACATCGGTGGTGGTCGGCGACGGTCGGAGTATCGGACAGTGCGGCGCGGCGCAGCGCGGCCCCGAAGGCCGTATTTCGGTACGCGACTATGTGCGCGCGCTATCTTTCTCTCCTTCCTTCTCTCTCCCGCGCTGAGCGCTCTAGCCACGACGTTGGCGCCCCGCTCGCGCGCCGCCTCGCGGCCGATTACGCCAAC